TGCACTGCGGCAGGATACGTGCCGGGGCGCCGAGCCGCGGCTGCGCTCGGCTCTCTCCTCTCGGAAGCTGCAGCCATGATGGAAGTTTGAGAGTTGAGCCGCTGTGAGGCGAGGCCGGGCTCAGGCGAGGGAGATGAGAGACGGCGGCGGCCGCGGCCCAGAGCCCCTCTCAGCGCCCGTGAGCAGCCGCGGGGGCAGCGCCCTCGGGGAGCCGGCCGGCCGGCGGCGGCGGCAGCGGCGGCGTCGTCGGCGGCAGCGGCCGACACCTCTCTTCTAACCGTGCAGCCTCTTGCTCGGCTTCTCGTGCAAGGGACGGTGGAAGCCGCGGGCCCGGGCGGGAGCCGGCTGAGGCGCGGCGGCGGCGGCGGCGGCGGTACCTCCCGCTCCTGGAGCGGGGGGGAGAAGCGGCGGCGGCGGCCGCGGCGGCTGCAGCTCCGGGGAGGGGGCCGGAGTCGCCTGTCACCATTTCCAGGGCTGGGGCCGCCGGAGAGTTGGTCTCTCCCCTCCTACTGCCTCCAACACGGCGGCGGCGGCGGCGGCACGTCCAGGGACCCGGGCCGGCTGTAAACCTCCCCTCCGCCGCCGCCGCACCACCCCCGGCCCGGGCTGCGGAGGCCGCCGGCGGAGGCAGCGGCCGTGCCGAGGATTCTCCGTCTCCTTCCCGTCTCGCGGCCGCCGCGGCCAGGCCTCTAGCTGCTGAGGAGAAGCAGGCCCAGTCGCTGCAACCATCCAGCAGCCGCCGCAGCAGCCATTACCCGGCTGCGGTCCAGAGCCAGGCGGCGGCAGAGCGAGGGGCATCCGCTACCGCCAAGTCCAGAGCCATTTCCATCCTGCAGAAGAAGCCCCGCCACCAGCCGCTTCTGCCATCTCTCTCCTCCTTTTTCTTCAGCCACAGGCTCCCAGACATGACAGCCATCATCAAAGAGATCGTTAGCAGAAACAAAAGGAGATATCAAGAGGATGGATTCGACTTAGACTTGACCTGTATCCATTTCTGCCGCTGCCCCTCTTTGCCTTTCTGTCACTCTCTCTTAGAACGTGGGAGCACACGGAGGCGAGAGATTGCCGTAGTTTGGGTGACTATAGCAGCTAGCCTGCTCGCATTTCTAGATCGTGTCTGTCTGGTGTGTCTCTTGAATGCATCCAGCCTAGGGTGTGTTCGGCTACATGGAACTCTTCCCTGCTTGCAAGTGTCAAGGCACGGATTGGTTTCTCTCGTCTGCCGACGGGGTCTCTTCCGAAGGGCTATTGTCCGTTAATACAGAATACAGTACACGGGTGGTGGATTAGTGAGCTCGGTAATCCGGTCTGCTATATGAACAGAAGAGTAGACGCTTTGAGGTTGAGCATATTTCGATTAAATCTTGGCTTTAGGCCCTAGATCAAGGGTATAGATTAGATTAAAATGAAAATTAGTGTTGCACGTATGCATATTGCATCAGAATCTTGCAGTGATTGTTTTTAGTTTCCTGGGTTGCATTGATAGACTTTTTTTTTTTTTTAATGTGACTTGTGAACTGATTTGCATAACTTTGGAAGCAGAATCATTTTCAGCATATATGGTGTTCATTGGAGGGCAAAAGGAGGTTTTTATATTTAAGCTAAGTTTAATTACAACTTTGGACTGCCTTTAGAAGTTTTGTAGTTTGAAATCAATAGTGTCATAGGTGATATACCTCCTAAGGCACTCTTACTAGATCTTTGTTAATTTCGCCTTTTTTTTTTCGTCCTGATGGGGTGATACAGGATAGGGCATGAAATTTGCAGCGCAGTAGTATTTTATATTCAGTGGTCTGGTCACACGTAATAGAATGGAAATTGAGTGTGTTTTGATCCCAGATGATAATGTTGTGTGGGTTCTAAGGGTATTGTGTGCCGCAAATTGTGATTGCAGAGATTAAGCTTCAGTTCTTCCTTGAAATTTAAGTGTTACTGTGATGCCGGAATTGCTGCTCACCTAATTCAAGTTGCAGGTCTTCTGACACCTTTGGGGGTCCATTAATTGTACTCTTGACTTGTGTATAATGGCAAGTGTAATATACCAGCTCATAAACAGAACGGCCTGCAAGAGGGGATTACCTCCAGCCTCAGATTGTGTAGGTATGTTAGCTGTTTTTCACCCAGTGTCTTAAATTTACTGACTCAGGTGGTTGAATAAACAGAAACCCAAGAATTGTAACAAGCGTGTCATTTTGGTTGTCTAAAAGTTAGGCCTTTGTACCTCAAAAGATAGTGGTTATCGAAAGGCATTGATCTTTGCAGTTTCAGGTATAATGAACTGGTTTTGAGCAAGGATGGGGATAGAGCCCTCCTGGTTTGCAGAATGGGAAGTATCACAGACGATCAGAGTTCCTGGTAGGCCAATGTGTAAGGCATGAAAAAACAGAATTAAGTTGTTGGTCTGAGGTGCCTGAAGCATCTTATTAAGGCTGCTATTAAGACCAAAATTTTGGTGATGTGAATTATAACGCTGGACAATATTTAAAATTATGTAATTGCATAATAGAGTATTAATAAAAATTATGTCTTAGCAAATGTCAGTGAACATTTTGCCTAAAGGTTGAGTGGCGCTAAAGTGTCCATATGTCCTGCTAAAAACTGTGGGGAAGATTTGTTTTTTGAAGAAAATGTTTTATATCTGAAGAGGTTTTATTCCTTTGGATTATATAGCTGCATGTAAATGTGCACAACTAATTTTGCCCAACTGTTTGTTTTGAGATGAAGGTAAAAGTTACTGAAGAAGGAGCTTTATAACACACAAAACGTAAGTTTTCTGTTAAGGATTAATATTTTAAAAGAATATTTAGAAGTTCTGGACTCTGCATTAATTGCAAAACTAGTCAGGCTGAACTGACCTGCTTGCCTAGAAGGTAATTAATTATGGAAAAACTGATTTGTAATTTATTTCAAGAGCAATCTGCTGTTGGTGTGAACTGACATGTATAGGAGCAAATTGATTAAATGTTTAACTTTTTAAGAAAAGTCCCCATGCAGAAAAATGTCTATAATGCTGTTTGGTAGATTGCTTTTATTATTCAGAGTATGTTTATACTATTTTTACTTTACCCATTTCCTTTAAAATTTAGTAGGGTTTTAAGTTTAAAATTATTCTACCAGGTTCTTTCACGTGAGTAGTGAGATGATTGCCAGTTCTCCTTTGATTTCAGAGGTGTGCCTCTGTACGTGAAATTTATGTGACTTAAAACTTTCTCTAACACTGTGCTTTTAGTTATGGTATACATAGAAAGCAGCATCAAATATTGCATCAAATGACTAGTAACACTTAATTTCTAGAGTTGTGGTTTTATTGAGCCAAATATTGATATAAAAAAAATCACTTAGGAAAAAGTCAGTGAAGGGCTCTTTTTTGATAGTTGCACTTCCAATAATTTTGATACACCAAAGCACTTTGGTTTACTTGGTTTCACTTTAGTGTTCTGTGTTTATTGTGGGGGGAAAATTAAAATGGCCATTGAAGATTTTGTCTCTGGCAGGTTGTAGTATCTGTTTCAGCAGCTAGCCTGTGAGAAGTTAAATTCCTTTATGAAAGTAGTAATTGGAGTATTTCTGTCTGATAAGAAAGATTAAGAATGTAGTGATTTCTCAGAGGAAAATTGAGGACGATTATTTGCAAATTTTGCAATATTATTTGCAAAATTGAGTTCTAAAAATAATTTCTTGGTATCTTATTATTAGTCTGGAAAGTAGTGATGACCGTGAGACTATAAAAAATTTAGTGTCTTTAGATTTCATGGAAACTTTAAGTTTTGGTTGTATTTTTATTTTTTGATAAGTTTGCGTCTTTTCAGATGTTAACCATAGGGGGTATTTTTAACTTGTAGAGGGTACAGGGACTCTTGAAATTAATTGTATTACCTTTTAAGATTAGTGATTACTGAAATGACCATATCGTGAGAGATGTGTGTGTGTGTGTGAATTTGTTTGTTTATTTTTTTAAAGATTCTGTTCAAAATTTTTATTTTACCCTGTTTCATATCTGCTAAGTTGCATTTCTTTTCTGAACAACATGACCGGGCATCCTAATTGCTGTATAACAGTTTAAAAACTTCATTTTCATAAAGGTCATTCAAGAATAAAGTGCATCTGAAAGAATAATTTACAGTTTATCTGACTTAATATAAGGAAAAAGGGATTTTATTGCTGTGCATTGTAAAAGTTTGCCCAGTAGGGCAGCCATCTGCGGATTTACATCGCGTATCCTGCACTAAGTGAATATTACTTGAATAAACATCCTAAAATATGGTGACTTATAATCACCTTAGTTTAACATTTATTTTTAGAAACTGTGGAAAAAGAAAGATGCATCGGTGTTCCTTCCTTTTAGAATTTTAACAACATGAGAAAGGCAGCTATCGATATTTTAGTGTTTATATGGAACAGTAGATCTGTTTTTTCCTAATAACCACTTAAATAAAACACACAAACTTCTTAATGTTAATTCTTATTATCACATGTTCTCATTTTGAGATTTGCCCCATTTGCTCTTTGTTCGTTTGGTGATAACTTAATACTTTTTAATATTTTTTAAGCCACTTAAGTAATTACTTCAGTAACTTTTAATGGAGGAATACTTCTGGGAAAATCAATGCACAAAGTTTCAGCATTAATTCACTCTCAGTAAACATTTTACTTTTAAATTTTGACCTCAGCTTTTTTTAGTAAGACAAATGTTTTTATATTAAAACAATGTATGTGAAATGGAGTTTGTAGAGAGAAATTTAGAAGTGTGCATGCACGTGATAGTTTTTCACTTACTTGAAGTGTTTGGTCTTGGTCGTGGTCCAAGACTTAGCTCCTAGAAGCTGTGTTATTAATGATTGTATAAAACATTTATTTGATATCATATTTTTTTTCCTGTAGAGACCATGAGTTCTGAAGTTTTATTTTTATTTTGAGGAGCCCTCGCTCTTCCTTGCCTTTTTTTGTTAGATAAACTTTGATTTTAAGTGAAGTCAGTATTGGAGAATTCTTTTGTGACCTGAATTCATTAAGAAAATGTGTTAGAATTTGTTCTGAGGATAGTGACTTAAGACCTTTGTATCAACTTCTGAGGTAGGGGTCAGTAATGATTTCAGTAAATATTCAGTTCTGTTTTACAATTGCTTTCTGTCTGGTAGCTTTGAAATTAATGCATTTGCTATCAGAGGTGTCAGTTATGTTGAGGTTAGACTGCATAACCTTAAGTTGGTAAGGATTTGCTGAGTGAAATGATATCCTTAATTGTTTTATAAAGGCCACTTACTGCCACATGCATTCTCTGCTAGGTGGTCAAAAGTGTTCTGGTCTGTCAATAATGATTGTCTAAGCATTGGATATATGCACCTACTAATGTAAAATACTTTCATTTGTCAGGAAAGGTGACTCTATCCTATCCTCTAATTTTTTGAATTTTTTTATTGGTTACAGAAAAGGTATTAGCAATTTGGTTCTTTTAAGGTAATTTGCACTGGAATAAAGGCTTTTGGAAAAAATATTAATATAAGAAAAATAAACATTATTTAGGTGTGAGTTAATTTAGAGGAGAAGTTTTAGTTCAGTTCAGTATAGTTAAGGCATATTCTGTTCATTTGCAGCAGTTTGCATTAAGAGGCAGGTGGACATCTTCAGGGTGTTAGATATACACTTGGCTGTACTGAGAATATTGAGAGATGGATACTGTGGCTGCACCTGACAGCAAAAGAATACTCTTACGCTGTACATAGTGTGGACAAGAAGACTGTTGACGTATTATATTTTAGGTGGTTATGCACTTTAATTGTCATCCATAGTCATCACTT